CTCAGCCTATCTCCCTAGATCCGTTCTTGACATTCCTTGCATTCTCCTTGCAGCATCCCTTCCTATCACTCCAAACTGAATGTCACTCAGGACTTAGGACATGTTTTCAGGTAGAGCCAAAAGGAGTTGCTTATGGATTTACATGGGATGAGAAGAAAACAGAGAAATCAAGAATGACTAGGGTTTTGCTGGAGCAACTTGACTTTTGTCAAGGTGGGAAAGTTTGGGTGAGATACAGGCTTGGCTGAAGCAAGTAAGGGCAGGGGCGTCAGCTGTTCTGTTTGCGAAGTGCTAACCCTGAAATGTCAGTGAGTCAAGCAGAGTGTGCTATAGTTGGACAGAAATATCAGACATATTTGTTGAATAAATAAGTGAACCAAGCTAGGCTATCAGAGAAGCAAATCTGGGGAGAAGGATTTAGAAAACTTGGTAAGCTATGATGTGTTCAAGACTTACGTGACGTTCTAGTGGAAATCTCATATTATTTGTAACATGGGTCTGGAGAGCAGTAGGAAAATTCCACCTGGAGGCGTAGATCTGAGGGCCGTAACTGAGAGTTTAAAATATGGAAAAGAGGCCGGCAGTGGCTCACCCCGGTAATCCTAGCTCTCTGGGAGGCCGAGGCGGGTGGATTGTTTGAGCTCAGGAGTTCGAAACCAGCCTGAGCAAGAGTGAGACCCCATCTCTACTAAAAAAAAAAAAAAAATAATCGGACAACTAAAAATATATAGAAAAAATTAGCCGGGCATGGTGGCGCATGCCTGTAGTCCCAGCTACTCGGGAGGCTGAGGCAGGAGGATCGCTTGAGCCCAGGAGTTTGAGGTTGCTGTGAGCTAGGCTGATGCCACGGCACTCTAGCCCGGGCAACAGAGTGAGACTCTGTCTCAAAAAAAAAAAAAAAAAAAAATATGGAAAAGATAAGATGGCACAGAGAGACTTCTAGAAAATTAAAATATTTTCATGTCACATATTTTATTCAAAATAAAATTAGTTTTACTGAGTGTGACAGAGGAAAATGCTGAGTGTCATCCCTGGCTTCTACCCACTAGAAGCCAGTAGCACTCGCCAGTCCCCTATCCCCACCCTCAGTTGTGACAACCAAAAATGTCCCTAGATGTTTCCAAATGTCCCCTGGGGGAGTGAAGGGAATGCCCATAGCTGAGAACTACTGGATTAAAAGAATGTCAGAGAAAATTGGTGCTTCCTTTTAGCCACTGAAATGTTAATATTGGGGAATATTGGAGAAATAACTACACAGCAGTAGCATTCTAAGCTTTTGTCCTGAAAAAATGGCTCTTGGAAAGGACTTTATAATTAGACAAACTGCTTGTACCCAAAGGTGTAAGGGTGGAAGAGAAGAGGGTCAAGGAGCGCACACTGAGAGAGCAACACTGCCCCATGGGGCGGGGGACGAGAAGCCCTGGATGCAGGGATAGGTGAGGCGCAATTTTGTTAGCAGCCTTCACACGGTGTCGCAGACGGCCCTTTCTCCCCCGGCAGTAATCCTGTCTGCTAGCCACAGGCTGATGGCTTTGGTGGAAACAGATGATGTTCCCAGCATTAAGGGACCTGACGGTTTATTATTTCATTTGAGAAGACTCTCAGTGCAATTCACCTGCTGCCCCCTAGTGAGGCTGCTCGGTGATGCCTAGTAAATTCTGGCAGTTCCTGACACTGGTTTCAAGGCTGAAACCGTCAAGCTGGCTCTGAGCTTGAATACCAGGGTCCAGGAGATCCAGCTGTTGGCCCTCTGTTTTTCCTCCCTCCTTGCTCCAAATGGCATCCCTAACAGTCACTAGTGGTTTCGCAAGCGTAGAGGTGAACGCACAGGCGGTCAACAGGGACAGCAGAGGAACATGGGCAGAGTAGCACAAAGGCATGATCGTAGCCAGGAGTGTTGTTAATAAGGTAAAGAGTAACCCTGCAAAGAGTGGACCACGGTGTCCCACTGAGCACTGAGGAACAGGCTCTCTATTTGCCTTAGGTGCTGTGTTCTTGACCCCCTTTTCCGTAGAAACCAGTGACACACAGCAGCTAGAAGAGACACCATCCGGTCACAGAGGCACAGATTAAAAAGTTATTCACTAATATAGACGATGAAATGACACTGCTCCATGAGAGTTGCAGTTGAAGACAGAGCATCTGTGTTTGTGTGTGTGCCAGGAAAAGACACACTACTCACAGTAGAGTACCTTAACACAGACTGAGAAATATTGAGGGGCAAATCCTGTTCCTGAAACATACAACTGCAAATGGGAGGGTGGAGGCAGGGATAGAAAATAGTTCTCTGCTCACGCCTGTAATCCCAGCACTTTGGAAGGCCAAGATAGGAGGATCACTTGAGGCCAGGAGTTCAAGACCAGCTTGGGCAACATAGTGAAACTCCATCTCTACAAAAAATAAATAAAACAAATAAATCTCCCAATCTTTAAAAAACTATTAAAAAAAAAAGGAAAATACTTCTCTGTGAAGCGATCCCCATACCACCAATGTTCTATAGGCCCCTAGTCTTTGTACTTCCTTGAAGAAATCTTAAATTTAAAAGTCACACCACACAAATTATGAAAAACATTCATATTTTAAAAGGATCTATCACAATTTCTTTAAATTGGGGTCAGCCATAGTGCACCTAGAATACTTTTTGGTTTATCAAGAAAAAATATGTTTAAATTGCATAAAGCAAAAATCTTCATGTATGTATGTGCATGTGTTTCAAGAATGAAGGTTTCAAATAAAGGAGTTGGAACAGAGAGACGTGACCTGACCTGTTTTGAAAGGATTCTGGCTGCTGTGTTGAGAACAGATCACAAGAGGCCAAGGTAGAAGCAAGATCAGTTGGCGGGGCACTTGAGTATTTTAGACAAGACGATGGAGGCTCTGATTAGGGTGGTAGCTGAGCAGGAGGTGAAAAGTGGTCAGAGTCTAAGTTCATTTTAAATGTAGAACCAATGGGTTTTGTGGATTTGCCCGCAGGTTGAAAGGGAGAGGTGGAATACCAGATTCAAGGACAATTCCCTCCAAAACAGCCTAGTAAAATGTCTCAACATCTTCATGTTATAGGGGGCGAGTAGGGACAGGGAGTTAATTTCTAATGTTCAAAGCATGAATGAATCAGTTGTATAAACGGCTTAATTCAAATTCATGATGCTGTTTCTGCAATTGTAAAAACTGGAGGTATAAAGTGACAAAATGTATAATAAAGCTAACTTTGAGGGGACAACTCCTTCCTTAAAAAGTGATAAACACTCTCCTTTATGACATGCTTTTCTGACATGACCTAGACATCTGGTTTTTTTATCCAATAACAAATTGCCTAATTTGGGGATGCATTTAAACAGAAAACAGTGACCCTGCCCACATACTCTCACCATGTCTGCCTGTACATACAGCCTTTTGTCTTAGCTCGAGCTGCTCTAAGAAATTACCACAGGCTGGGTGACTTAAACAATTTCTTACAGTTCTGGAGGCTGGAAAGTCCAAGCTCAAGGTGATGGCAGATTTGGTTCTGGTGAGGATCTGCTTCCTGACTTGCAGATGGCCTTCTTCTCTTTGGATCTTCACATGCCAGAGAGCAGAGAGCAAGGCCCTGTGTCTCTTCTTATAAGGCCATCAGTCCCATTCATGAGGACTCCACCCTATTTACCTCCCAAGGCCCCACCTCCTAATACCATCACACTGTAGGTTAGGATTTCAACATATGAATTTTGGGAGAACACATTCAGTCCCTAACATCAGAGGACAATTTGTTACCTAGAGGTACACTTTGCAACTTCCTTATCAACTGATGATACTGAGTAGGCAGTCGACTATCCTCAGGTATGTAGTTAGCCTTAGTGTCCGTGAACCACTGATTTTACTGCAAGCACATCTATTTTAAATTCAACACATGACACATATAATTTGTCAAAGTTAAAAATAATTATCCATGATCACCTTAACAACATGCAGATAACTATTAATAATTCTGGAATCTCAATTTTTTTTTTTTGCTTGAATTGAGCTAAGCAAGAGCTGTTTACCGGGATTCCAATACTTTGGAAGTTTTGCATTTACTGAACTGCACTTCAGTGTATCATTGGTCTATACTGTACCCCATGAAATTGGTCATTCTACTTCTAGGAATGTTATAATAACATGGATCACACCATTACACAATCCTCATTATGAAGCCCCTTGGGAGAAATGTTTCTCAGGCCTTAGTACCAAGATACTAATATACTTTCCAGATTGTTTGTCTTATGGAGACTTATCCATGTAAGTGAATGCTCCCTCCTTCCAAAGAAAAGAAAGTTCAGAGATGAATTTACAGGCTAATATATAAGTGTTCAGGTTATTGTGGTATGCATTTTTGTTGTACATACATCCCTGGGCTTTACCTTATCTTGTCTACCAATTTTCCCCTTTAACTCCCTTACTTATCTGTGCTTTAATTAGCTATCTCACCTTTTTTTAAATTTTGCATGAGGAAGGAAACAAAATAGCAAACCTTGGGCTCAAGGTAGACAGATGAATGGGAGAAGTAGAAGAAAATAAGAAATGAACTTCAGAAAGTTAAGGCTATTGCTACAAAGAGATTAAAAAAGATACAATGTAAAATAAATATACTAAAAGGGCACACTAGAAGGAAAATACAAAGACAACAGCCTTAGCACATTTTGGTATACTGAGATTTGCTCAGATCTCTTTACTAAAAATCTCTCCCAAAACATAAGCTATCTAATATATTCTGAATGTGATTTTAAGATAAAGTGTAAAGAACTACTATCATAAGTAAATTAGCATAATATGTTCCATATAAAATGAATTCTTCCAAAGGCAATTTTAATTTGCTGAAACAAAAAACAGAACAAAACCTTTTCTTACGGTCACAACCACCACCTTAAAAAACAATACCAAGAATTCAAATAGCCTATTTCCATGTGTTACTTAAATGAAAGTATTTGTGTTAAGTGATGCCTAAAAAAAACCCCACTAACAAACAAAATCAGAGCACATAATTCTTGCTATGAATTTTAAATTTTTTCTTTTATTTTTTTTCCCGGAATTCTATGTTTACTTAAAAACTTATATGTAATAAACAGATATATTAATCCATTGAGCCTTTGCATAAACATTTTCAGAATTTACTCACAATATACTATTCAAATTATCCCACATAAAACTGCTTATAAAGAATGTTTTAAACTATATTGATGATTTAAAAACAAACACAACATGAAAACAAAGAATCTTCCTTTCTTTTAGGAAAAATGTTTTACTGTGAAGTTAGCCTCTTTTAATATCTTTGGTGTCAATTCTGGGTGAACCAGGATGGTCGCTTCCTGGCTCGTTCAATGATCCTCTTGCCCTGATCTCGTTCAGATGGCGTCTCTCCCGTGTACAGAACCACAGTCTCTATGGTGGGAGCCTTAAAAGGGCCCCCTTCTTGCTTCTTTATCTGTTGTCGGATTTCTGCTGTCTCCTTGCGCACCTTCTCATAGCAATAGCCACACAGGATGTGTTTGAGTTTCAGGTGACCACATTCAGGACACGTGTCTATATTGTTCTTTAAAACAACAAACAAAAACATATTTTAACAAGGGGCAATATACACAAGTAATCACTGACAGGAGTGATGCTTACACTCTAACCTTCTGGAAGGTTCAGGCTATATGAGGTCATATACCATCTAGTTCGATCTCACTTTAACAGGAAACTGAGGACAAGCAACATCGAGTTTGAACTGGTAGAAAAATTGGAACTAGAACCCAGGTCTACTAACTTAGAATCTAGTACATTTTTACCTAAACACAGCAGTCATATTTATGTAAAAAGATTCTCTATTTCCCCCAACTCAAAATACTCAATATCTACAAAAGGATCCATCAACACAATGGGGTCATTTATATAGTCAGCATCTTAAATAAGGAAAGACAAAATTCACTTTCACTTTCAAACTATCTGGGGGAGGGGGTGGAAAACAAGATGATAAGAACATTACAAGTTGGCTTCCTCTGCTTTATCACAGTGTAATTCAAATTCCTATACAGAATACAGGTTTGGTGTATGGTGTGAAAACTCTTTTACATTACAATTTGAGGACATTGTAGTAAGTTTTTATATGTCTATCCAACTTGAACTATAAAATAAAACAATTATAACCTCTAAAAGACTTTTCAACATGCTATGAAGGTAGATTTGAAAGGAAATATAAAGAAAAAATAATAAACAGGAGCATGAAAGGAGCTTCAAACATTTCATAAGATTAATATACTAACATTTATGAGACAGATAATGAAAGAATTTTCTGAAAGAAACAGAACCTTGCACATTAGTGGTCTAACCATATTCTCATTTTACTCCACTATACTGGAAATTAGATCGCGCGTCCAAAGAAAGGTATGAAAAGATACAGTCCGTTGGTCTTCTTTTCATGATCAAAGCACCCAACACTATATGTAGCAGAAAATTTTCAAGGAAGAAAATAAATGCACAGGACAAGAGCTATTTTGTTCCCTTAGAATAAATGCAATCAGGGAAGGCATGTAATAGTTCATTGCATGATCTCATTTAAGCCCTCCTGACCAAACTGTATAAATTATTTTAAGTCATAAGTGATGAAATATTTTTCAGTTCCAGATTTAAGTTCAGCTCCAACCATGACTCATAATACTTCTGGCTTAAGTTCTACTCTAAGGGTTTGGTTTAATGGTGAATGTGGAAGCTTATGAAAGTCAATTCTGTTGCGTTTCAGCTGTACAGTACTGCTGCTATGGAATGCCATGAAGTAAACAGTAACTGAAATCATAGCTGTTAAAGCCATATATTAACCAATTGGAGGTAATAAACACTGTAATTTTTCTTCTTACTAGACCAGCGCAGACAGTACATCCATGTTGTGGAGGAGGGGAATACGGAATTTTGAGGACAGGGGCACACAAAGAAAATTAGACCACTAGAGCTCAAACCCTGGCTCTAACACTTAATAACTGTGTGACCACAGGCAAATTCTTTTTGCCTAGCGATTTGCTTAGCTTTCTTTATCCTAAAAGTGAAGAACATGGTATTTGCTTTGGAGGGGTGTTGTGAAGAGATGATGAGATTTAATACACATAAAGCACTGAGATACATCATAGACACTTAACAGATGTTAGTTATTTTATTATTTATCTCAAGGTTTTCCTTCACAGTCTTTACATGGTAAACAATAAAATGAACATGTAAGGGCTAGTAACACCCAAGATCAATATACCTACTGCTTCTGACTTTAATTCTAGGCTCTGCCATAGTTAGGATGTTTATCTGTTTGTAGTCCAAAAATCACACAGCTCAGGCTTGATACAGCTCACAATTCAAAAGTCATGTAGGCTATTCACAGCCTAGTTCTCTGTCCAATCTCCAAACTCCTTCCTTGACTGTGTTTCTAACATTTAGGTTAGAGGACGGTACACATACATAATGAGAATATTGTATTTAATTTAGGCCAGAGGAAAACAGACATATAAGATCTGAGAATAATATATCCATAGGCTGTGTGAATATAGCATAAGGCTATCCAGTGGTGGACTTGAGGAAAAGCACACCCACAAAATCAACACATTACCTTAACTTTAATAAGCTTTCGAGGGTTTCTTCTCCTACAACGGTTAACTTCAATGGTGCGTCTGTTTTTGGGAGCTGCCATCCAAAAGATACTATCCAAAAGGCTGGAATTCTCCTTACTTCCACTTGCATCATTTGCTGGCTCTGCAAATAAGACTGGACCCTGGACTGCTAATGCTGGTCCTATAAAATAAAGCATGGAGATACAGAATTGGTTTCTAGCTTCTAAATGATTATTTACAGATATTCTCCTTAACAGTCAACAATTAAACACACACACACAGAGACGTATACATAGATAATTTAGAATATTACATCCAATAGACATTTAACAGGAAACCTTAGCTATTAAAATATCCTAAAGTGCATACAACAGGCAATTTTTAAAAACACAAATAGAATTTCTTCTTAGTGGAAACTGCTGGGAAATGAGATCAGTGAAATTCTATCAAGAGTTTCTCACCTCATAAAATACAGGACTCAAGGGTTTAGTAGTATGAATAAAAGTTTGATTAGCACATAACTTAAACAAAACAAACAACAACAAAAATCACTCAATTGTCTACATTCTACTTGGTAGGCAGTAAGTACCTAATTAATTTACAAGTAAATCTAAGACCGAGATTCCCTAAATGTACCTCTGTGACCTGCACTGAGATTAAGTACCAACTGGACCTTTTTTATTATACTCAAACTGAGTGAGCTCCTTTATCATATAAGCCTGATAGCCCTCTCAAGTCACTTAGTTCTTCACAATATTTAATCTTAGTTTCTGTCTGTTCTCTAAAGAAAAGAGCTAGCTCATCACCGCTTTGTATATTATTTATGTGACTACCAAAGTTTCACTTTTGTTCTCTAAGTTGCTTATAAAATCAAACAGATACCCTTATCTTTGCCTTGCTGTTCCTCAGACTTGCAATACTTATTGATTTGAGGAACTCTGTAAAAAGTACATAAAGTTTTCTAACACTTAACAACTGGTATTCCTTTTCAATATGTCTAAAAGTATTGCTAAGCATAGCCCAGTAGTTAACAATAAAGGCTCTGGACTGCCTGCGTGACTTTTGGACGTTCACCTACTATAGACGAAACGTGGAGAAATCTAACGGGATTGCTGTGAAGATTATCCCAGAAGTACATGCAGAAAGGTTACTTAGCACATTGCTTGGTATATATAGTGGTATATATTATATTTTCTTAGTATATATCTCTGTTCAGTCTGTCTGGGTACTATCACTTTTGGGATACTGAGAAATTGAGTAGGATGTAAATGTCAAAACAGTGACAGTTTTAACATTCAAAATACTTCCACTTAAAATTAGTTCCCCGAGGAAACACAGGAAGCAGAATTTATCTGAACAGAGCTCAACTACCACCACAGTCGACAACAAAATGCATTCCGTGTGCATCAGGGGGTGGGAGGACTGGAAACAAAAGAAAACACACATCGAGAGTGGCAGGCCTTGATGCCAAGTGATAACTGCAGAACTGTCCTCACAGGACAACTCTGTCCAAACCCCTGCACTAAGAGACCTGACCAAACTCTAGCACCGGTTCTAGCAGCATAAGGCCGTGTCTCTAGGATGACTTCGGACCCTGCCTGAGAAAGCTCAAGGCTGCCAGAAAATTTCCTCTTTATTCCAGCCCAACACACACTGGACGACAGACCGCTGAACTCCCTTCCTTAGAGCATTTACTAAAAAAGGCTTAAAGTTCTAAATACGTCTCCTGCAACTCAAGGACCCGAGAGCCATTCCTTTGAAATCTAATCATCAGGAAGGAAAGGGCCTGTCTCCCAGTCTTTATGTTGGAACTCTAACTTCGATGATTATAAGCTAGCAGACACTGCTGGCTAATTACATTTACACTGACCGACCCTTTTCACTTCTTTAACTTTGAGCCTCCGCACCCACCTCCCCCATTGTCCCCTTAAAAACGTTTAAATCACCTCTGCGCAAAACAGAATGGAACTCAGCTCTTTGCCCTACCGGTGGTAGTTACTGAATAAAATCTGTTTTCAGAACTTTAACTAATGGCTGGCTGTATTTATCTCTGACACAAGTTAAGGCGCTTGGGTTACATACTGTGTACGAATGGGGCATAAGAAAGATTTTTTTTTCCAGGGGAGAGGATAAAAACAGCCGTATGTTCTTCTACGTAAATGAATGTCATGAACATCCCCTACACGCAGCCGCAGGTCAGAACGGGCTGATGGCAGAGTGTGATCTGTGTCTACCACGATGTCTTCATCCAACCCCTCCCCAACCGAGACCTTCTCTGCCTACCCCACGGAGGACTGGGAAATCCTGGCCGACTCTGCTGAAGCTTCCGCTGTAGCAGCTCCCAACAGTTTCGGAGGAGTCCCCGGGAGGCCGGCCGTGGCGGAACCACCAGCACCAGCATGGCCAGCACCATTTTCCTCGCCGGACAATGACACCCACAGCTCTCCAACCTCTGGCCTGTGGGAATCCCGCCCCTAATTCGAGCATGCGCACAGACTCAGAGTCGGGCAAACCTTTCTCCTGGAACCACAATACCCAGCATGCTCTTGGAGCGGCTCTGACTTTTATCCAATCAGAGACAGAGAGAGAAAAGTAAAGGAGAGGGGCGGAGAAATGGAAAAAAAAACTGGCCGCAGTGCGCATGTGTCCGGATGTGCTAAGCTCTCCGGGTAAAGATGGCGGAGCGCGGGTACAGCTTTTCGCTGACTACATTCAGGTAAGGAAGGGGCCCCGAGGTCCTCCGCGTGGCCGAGGTAGCAGGAGCTCCGTCGACTTGGTTTTTTTCCGTCCTGACATCTGGCTTGGTGCTTCCGTAGGGTCCAACATAGAATGGAGGTGGAAATGCGGCTTTGCAAAGTCATTTGCCGGACTGGCCCGGGGGCCCGGGAGCATCGGTGCTGGGAGGCCTCAGGGATCCGGGGCGAACTTGGGGCTGCGGGACCGGGAGGCCCCTAGCCAGGGATTCGCTTTCTCTTTGGAAACTAGAAAAGAAGGCAGTTTTGGAGTAACCATCTCTGGGTGGCCCGTTCAGAATCCGAGATTTTCTTCCTGGCCCGAGTAGACATGATGCGGGAGTTTCTGAAACTCGGAGTCTTGGTCAAATATGTGGGGTTTCTTTTTCTTGGAAAACCCTTAGTTTTACAATTAGGTCGGAGTCTCGGTCTCCGTTTGGCACTAGTGTCTTTCAAAACTTTCCGCTTTCGGTTTCTTCGATGCGCGTCTTAGCATGAGACGCTTACGGGCCGGGCGCAGTAGCTCACGACTGCTATCCCAGCACCTCTGGAGGATGAGGTGGGAGGATCACTTGAGCCCAGGCTGGAGTTGGCGGTTACAGAGAGCTATGATCCCGCCACTGCACCCCAGCGTGGGAGACAGAGCAAGATTCTGTCTCTTTAAAAAAAAAAAAAAAAAGCAGCATAGGACTAAACAAATGTAAGTTCTGATCATTCAGTTAGTTTTTTGTGGGCCCTAAACTATAGGCAGTAATTTGTGTTTTGGCCTTTTTCGGGTGGGGGGAGCGGGTATGTTTACTTTAAGATTGTAGGCTTTTCTATTAATAGACCAGGGATTAAAGTCGTATGTATTTTTCAAAATGTAGTTGAGGTGAACCATCGCGGAAGAATTAAAAAATCGACCAGGAAAGGATTCTGATTTGACCATTTTTTTAAGGATCAGTAATGCCCTATTTACTTCAAATGTCGTCCTGTCTGGCAGCTGAAGGCAGGCTAGTTCTAATTGTTGAGTACTTTCTGTGTAGGCGCAACTTCACCTACTCCATCTCTTTCCACAACCATGTATATGTTATCTCAACATGTTACAAATGAGCTAATCACAGCCTGCACAAATTAAATAACTTTTCTGGGATCATCAGGTGAGTAGTCGAGTTGACATTCAAACTGGGTTCTTTCTGATGACAAAAATTAATACACTTTCCATTACATCATGTTCCCTTCTTGAAGTCCAAAAATATTTTCAATAAGAAGTTTCAATAAGAAACTGGCAGTTTTCAATAACAAGTGAGAGTATGTAACAGTTGTAGGGGTTTTTTGTTTGTTTTTGGTAACCTTTGAATGAAATTTATTTAATTCAGCAATAAAAGGTCTCATTATCTACAATGGCAGAATACTATGTGCAAGGTAGTCACTGTTATTTGTGAACAAAGCAAATGTGGTCCTTTATCTCTAAGAAAGTGTAATCCTAGTGGAGTTGAAACATGAAACAACCATATACCATCAGAGATTTATAACCAATATCTTCGTTAAAATAAACTTTTGTTTTTTAACATGATGGATTCAACTCTGTTGTAGATAAAAAGAAAAAAATTGTTTCTAGACTGTTGTAATCAGAATTAAATTATTAATGGTAGAAGTGACTAGAGATTAGATAGGATAAAAAGATGTTCTTTTGTATTACATTTGGTTGGGGATATTGACAATAAATGAGTAAACAAATTGGTGTCTACTAATGAATTCTGGAAAATATTTTCTTAGGAATTTTATTAAAAAGAATAGAGTGAAAGAAGGAACATAACTTTAGATTGGGTAGTCAGGAAAGGCCTGTGCTTGGGGGTTATTTTTAAAACTGGAAGATGAAAAGGGTCAGCTATTTCAAATTTAGTAGTAAGGAGAGTTGTGGACAGAGGGAACAGCATGTGTGAAAGCCCTGAAGCTGGAAAGAGGCTTGAGCTCTAAAGGAATTAAAATGAGGCCAATGTGCTGGAGTACAGTGAGCAAGGAGGTAATGTGGGTGAGGGCCAGTGCAGGGCCTTGTAGGCCAGAATAAGGAGTTTTTATTTTAAATGAACCAAGAAATTATTACAAGATTTAAGTGGGATGACATGGTACAAAGGTAAGTCTGGCTGGGGGTAGCAGTAAGAGTGAGAAAGAGGAAAGCTAGTTAGAAGGCTGTTTCAGTTATCCCACGTAGAGATGCTGATACTCTGGAATGTGGTAGTGGCATTATTGAATACGAAGATGGTTGGTTGCTCAGCAGGTTCTTGTGAGCTTTCACACAAAAAGATGGCAATGGTAAAAGCATGTATGTACAGGTGACTCTGGGAGCAGAGAAAAGGTAACTTAAGTTTGAACCTTTAAATGTTCCCTAGAGTCATATGAACTAGGTATTGAACAATAATTGAAAGCTGGATGGACCCAGAAAGTCACGATATGATTCTTGAAATAGTGACCGTTGAAGGAAAAAAAAAATTCAGCCTAATTTTTAAATTTTAACGCCAATGGATGCTATTCTGCTCAAGTTAGCTAATTATGTCAAAAGTCTTTAAGCTGTCACCTTTAGGTTTATTTCTTAAATTGGTCTAGGTGTGTCCCTATCAGCTAAGTGATTGTGGATTCCTAGTGCCAGGTAATGTGCCGGAATCAGAGCTTACACTTTTTTGAGGAAGATAAATATTGTAAAGATAATTAAAATATGATGACTGTTAGCCAAAGAGGAAGTACAGGACATCATAGGCATGACTGGGGATTCATCCTAGTCTGAGGGGTCATGGCAGCTTCCCTGAGGATATGACATTTCTACTAAAGATTGAAGGATGACCAGGAAGCAGTTCACCAGGCAATAGAGAAATGCATTACAGAGGGATTCACTTGCCAAAAAGGTTTTCGAAGTCTGAGAATAGTCTATGCGTCTGGAGCAAAGTGGGATGGTGTGAGTTGAAACTTGAATGACAAAGGAAGTATTCATGATTGTATAAAGAGAAAATGGGTGGCCTTCTGAAATTTCAGATTATCTTTTCTGTAGTGGACACTTGATAGGGACCTAGCTGTGTCACTTTGGACAGATTACTTTCATTCAAGGACTTTTTCTTTATAAAGTAAGAAGGTTGGACTGTGATGTTTATAATGATTTTAATTCAACTACTAGGTTGAAATAAAGTATAACCTAAAAGGCCAGTTTGGGACTAGTATTTGGCTACCAAACCCATGGAACCAGATCTGTTAAGTATAACCATCTAATAATGGCTCCCAGATATAGTTTTATACTACATAGAGATACTTTGTTGTGAATGATTATCTAGGTCTTACATCTTAGACCATGGTACTTTCTAAAAGCTCTCCACATGGAATATATGCTGCTGTTTGGTTTTTAAAAGACACATACATGTATTTAATAACATTACTGTTCAGTGTTTGACTATTGCTAGTTTTGTGGTAGAAACTTTTGTAGACATTACTTCATTTAGTCATCACAGCAAAACTTTGAAATAGGTACAGTTATCCCTCAGTATCCACAGGGGATTGATTCCATGAACCCCATGGATAACAAAATCCAGATACTCAAGTCCTGAAGTTGGACCACAGGCAGAACCCGCGGATATCAAGGGTCAATTGGAACTATTAATGCTATAGTACTATAATTCCCATTTTACAGATGAGAAAACAAAGAAAGCTAAGTGACTTGCCTAAAGTCACAAGATTGGTAAACAGTGAAAAGAGGCAGCCGTAATGCTGCTCCAAGTGGCAGACAAAAAACAACCAAAGGAAAGAGAAATTAGTGCTCTACTCTGAATATGCTCAAATTGCCTTGTAAACTTAGTGTCTGTACAACTTCATGATAGATTTCAAAGGCCAGCTATTCCTGGGGATTTGATTAATGGGATTGGACCTATATATCTGCCTTCACTCAGAGATGTTCCTATAATAAATATTTGATGATATGTGAACTTAGCAAATACCTGTGTTTCTTTTTAAGCCCATCTGGTAAACTTGTTCAGATTGAATATGCTTTGGCTGCTGTAGCTGGAGGAGCCCCTTCAGTGGGAATTAAAGGTAATTAAATGCTTCATTCATTTCAGATGCCTGCTAATAGTTATCCTAATTTTTTTTTTTGAAATTGATCAGTAATTCCTAGAGCTGTGACAGCATAATTTTTAACTGTCCTTTTTATTGATTTACAGTGATTTGAAGTTTAAAGAAAATTTTTCAAAGTAAAGATAACTTCTTTAGGTTATTGTCTTTCCCATTCAGAAAACTGAGTATTCTTTTTTTCCCCCATTGATTATATCAATCCTCTCTGGTAGTTTTTATCTTTCCTATAATTTAGAAAAGGCTAATTATAAAATACAGTCTAAAGATATTATAATTGTTTCATATCCCAGTACCCCTTAATAAAAGTCTATATCATTTATTTTAAATTTCATGTTATAAGAATAGTAGGCCAAGTAGGTAGAAATCCATTATTTTAAAACATGTAAACTCTCAGGTATCCTAGAGTACTTTATGGAAAGTTGTACAGTACCTTTAGCTGTAGGGATTTTTTTTTTTTTTAGTGCACTATAAGTGACCAGTGAGGGAAAAATTGATTTGGTGTTCAATGGTACTTCCTTAGGTAATTTTGATACAGGACTCCAAAAGAAAAGTCTTTATAAATTAGAGGAAATAACAAAGGAGTTTGGGCTTAATGCATCCATAATTAGAAAGCTATTAAAACAGTCTTTAAATAATTAAACATTCAGGTCTTTTTTTTTTTTTTTTTTAAGCTGCAAATGGTGTGGTATTAGCAACTGAGAAGAAACAGAAATCCATTCTGTATGATGAGCGAAGTGTACACAAAGTGGAACCAATTACCAAGCATATAGGTTTGGTATACAGTGGCATGGGCCCAGATTACAGGTACTTTTATACTATTTACAGTTTTCTCACCATTTCGTGACTTGATTGTAATCTGTACTTTCAGGAGAAAAATCAAGGGATGTTTTTTTTTTCCTTTAGTCTTATAACTCCACTTTTTGTTTGCTATGTTTGACAATAGCAGCCCCTTTGACAGCTGAATTTAGCTTGCCTGTATGGGTTACTTTAAGGATGCAGTTCCCAACCCCCAGGCATGGCCTGGTACCGGTCTGTGGCCTGTTAGGAAACAGTCTGGCATCACTGCCTGAGCTCCATACCACCCCTCTGTCCCACCTGTGGTCTGTCGAAAATTGTCTTCCATGACACATTTTACATTTTTCAAGTTATAAGTAGTTTCTTACTATTTCTTAATCTCTGAAGGGTACTCTTTGCAGTGCAGGCGGACAGATTAAGGTGATCTGTGGAAAAGATTGAGTCAGTGAGAAAAATATGCCCAGAATCTTGTGTGCTCGTGTGTTCATGTGTGTGCATATGTATGTGTTGGCTGGTGTGAGATCTAAAAAGACAGGCTGCCTTTAGGGTAAGGGGGACAATCTTGAAGAAGCCATGGAGGGAGATAGAGCTCTCATTTTGAACATTAAATCTGTTAAACTGACTGGTACCCTAATCCCTCATTTCTTCCTTGCCCTGTTCTTGTCTGTCTCTGTTGTTCAGCTCCTCTGTGATGCTGAACATGTGATATTTGAATTGACAGCTGCTATTGAAGAGACATGTGTTAAACTTGTGCTGTAGGTATATAACTATAGAAAAATGAGTCTTTAGGTAATAGAGTGTCTTAATTTTAATTAAATCTTATTTTTTCCTTTTTAGAGTGCTTGTGCACAGAGCTCGAAAACTCGCTCAGCAATACTATCTTGTTTACCAAGAACCCATTCCCACGGCTCAGCTGGTGCAGAGAGTAGCTTCTGTGATGCAGGAATATACCCAGTCAGGGTAAGTTGCTTTTATTGAAATGTGCCATGTATTGGGGAAAAAAGGATTTTAAAAGAGTAGATGTACAAGTAGATGGCAACATACTATTCCTATACTTGCCTAATGAGTGGATGAAATTACTATGATGAATGTTTCTAACCTTAACTGGATCTAGAATATTTTCTTAAGGAAAAAAATATGAATGTTTTCTTATTCATATAACAGCTTTTTTGCAGAAAGCAACTTCTAGATATACAAAGTCCTTTTGCCAATGATTAAAACATTTAGGGATAGACAATCATTGCTACTTCCAAATTTATCTTTCTAATGAGAAATGATCATAAGCACATGATGAAAGCAGTAGCTCTTTGATGCATTTGTATTCACTTCAATTCCAATGTCTTTTTTTTCTTTTTTTTCCCCCTCCTCTGTTCTGAAGGATCCAATTTCTTAAGTTTTGGTGTGGATGAGATAGTATAAAGGTAGCTGTTGATAAGTAAATCTAGTGGAAAAGCTACATTAGTTGAAGGTTTTCATTTTGTTAGGATACTAAACATTACTCCACGCTTACCCTAATGTCTTTAGGTGTCACTCCATTTAATCCCAGATTATTTGACTGCTGTTCCTCATTGCCATAAAGAGAATTAATTTTGAATTGATTCATTCAGAAAGTTGTTAAATACTTTTTAAGGAACTTATAAACCTAATTCAGTTTACCTGATTATTTGCTTTACTTGAGAGTACTAATAAGTTCTGATTTGAGGATGACTAACCTTGAAGATGCCAAGTAATTTTCATTTCCTTTCCACAGTGGTGTTCGTCCATTTGGAGTTTCTTTACTTATTTGTGGTTGGAATGAGGGACGACCATATTTATTTCAGTCAGATCCATCTGTAAGTATCATTAGATGTATTTGAGGGATTTGTTAAAAGTATTTGAATATCTAATAGAAATAAAAGCCATCAGAGGGACGGTGGAGGAAGGAGCGAAAAAAAATTACAATTACAATTTAGGAATATTTTCTCTTTTCCTTTTTCATTTGGGCTTTAGAAAGTATGTGCATATTTGCACATTTAGAATTTTGGTAGTTCAGTCTTCTGATAAGGAAACTTGTTATTTCTGCCCTCTGTTCTTCTGTGTTCATGAACTTCACATACTGGAATGATTTGTTGAAATAGTTGTTATCAAATCTCTTTAAATCTATGGAATTTTGTTACTTTGGAAAATACTGCAATTAAAGGTAGGGATCTGGAGAATAGTGTTGTAGTCTTTGCCATCAGTTTAATCTTGGGGCTGACTTGAGCGTGACTATTTTGAATTCAGTGTTTTATGTCACCAGTATTTTAAATGAATTGTCTGCTCTAAAGCAGAAGATTGACATCTGAATAGATGTTCATAAAGGATAATACTATTCCACATCTGTCCCATTTGCTATGAGAACCTCAAGAAAAAAAATCAAGATTAGGCAATGATCTTTCATAGTTTATGTATTATTAGATAATTGCACGTTCACTCAGTGCAAACTTTATGATCTAACCTTATAACCTAAGATGGCAAAAGAAAAATGTTTTGGTTGTTTATTACTTAGAAGAATGAGTATATTTTGGGAACATTGATAGTGTTATAATACTCCATGTCTGAGCTTCTGAAGCTAAATGACAAGCCCTCTTACCTTCCTTTCCAGTGGGTAGCAAAAGCCACCATCTCTGGAATACTGGTTTCATCTTTTGCCCAATTTTTCCCTGTGGTATCCAAAAGGCGATTGTTTCATTTTAAAATACATTTTTTATGTTTCTTTTGGTATTTTTTCTATGTGTATATGTATGTTTTTCAACATATGAGACCATGTTATGTATGACATATTACTGCTGCTTTTATTTCACCTTAGATTAAAAATATCAAAGCCTTTGAATATTTTTAATGAAAATTTATCTCATTTTAACTTATTCACTAATGATCAAGAGTTGATCACCATTTTTTCAGATTTATATGAGATTTTTTAGATCCCATTACTCTTGATTATTTGCTTCAAGTTAACTTCAGTTTCTTTTAACTGGCTTTTTTACCTAATTTGTACAATCTGTACAGTAAATTACATCATCAACTTATCATCAGTCTGATAAGATAAATACCTGAGGGAACCATCACCACAATCAAGATAACAAACTTTTCCATAACCTCCAAACGTTTCTTCATGATTCTTGGTTTTCCATTCCTCTAACATTCTTAAAAAATAGCCTATTATATAACATTTCCCATTCCATTCCAATAGTATTCTGTGACCCTAGAAGTTAGAAACTAATTACAGAACTAAAAAATAAATGGCAGGGCAGCATAATTCTACTAATGGTTCTTTTCTTCTCCCTTCCTGATTAGGGAGCTTACTTTGCCTGGAAAGCCACAGCAATGGGAAAGAACTATGTGAATGGGAAAACTTTCCTTGAGAAAAGGTAGGCTCACTGTAACTAGATTCAAACTAGATGCAAACTGACTTTATGTTTATGGTTTTTGGTGCTCTGTAAATAATTAATATCATGGGTCTAAAGAAATTTATTGTATTACTCTGTATTTGAATCTAGATACAGATAAAAGAAACAACTTTCCTCCGTCCTAGTTTCCTAGCCTTCAGTATATTAAGAGGCAATATTCACTTCTTAAGGACTTCTCTTTCTGTGTGCTTATGGTTGTTTCCTAAATGTTTTTGGTTTTTTATTTCATTTTTCTTACCATTTTGGGGGGCAGGATGTAAAAAAGAACATTGAATATGAAGGAAAAATTGGGGAAGAAAAATTCTCAAATGATTTAATGATAACTGTTTACATTATGATGGTAAAAAAATTGGGGACCCAAATACCTAGTGTTGAAGGTAGATTAAATATATGACGTATATGCTTTTAATTTATGGGGTACGTGTGATATTTTGATACCCATATACCATGTGTAATGATCAAATCAGGGTAACTGGGATATCTATCACTTCAAACATATCTTTTCTTTGTGTTGGGAACATGTAAATCTTCTAGCTGTTTTGAAATATACTTTTAAGTTGTCAACTGTAATTTCCCTACTATACTATCAAGTACCAGAACTTGTTCCTTCTGTCTTACTGTATTTTTGTACCCCTTAACCAACTTGTCTTCTTTCCTCCCACCCTCCTTCCCTTCTGGGCCTCTGATAATCCCATTCTACTGTCTACCTACATGAGATCCACTTTGTTAGCTTCCACATATGAGTGAGAACATTTAATATTTTTCTGTGCCTGGCTTATTTCACTTAACATAATGACCTCCAGTTCCATCCATGTTGCTGCAAATGACAGGATTTCATTCTTTTTTATGGCTGAATAATATTGGAAAGTTTTGTAATTTAGATGAATCCTCAGTACATTTTTCATATAATGTTAAGTTTATTAAAAATCTTAGGCCTAGAATTAAATGATGAACAAATAATCTTAGGATCTTAGCATTTTCCTTTTCCTTTTACATATTAATGAGTCTTCCAAAGATTTCACATGTTATAACATGTTATGGACCAGGTGCAGTGGCTCATGCCTGTAATCCCAGTGCTTTGGGAGGCTTAGGTTGGGAGGATCACATGAGGCCAGGAATTCAAGACTAGCCTGAGGAACCTAGCAAGACCTCCATCTCTACAAAAAATAATAACAAAGAAAAAAATTATCCAGTGTGGTGGCACATGCGTGTAGTCCCAGCTATACAAGAGGCTGAGGCTAGAGGATTACTTGAGCCCAGGAGTTCCGGTCTGCAGTGAGTTATGATTGTGCCACTGTATTCCAGCGTGGGTGACAGGAGCAGACCCTGTCTCTTTAAAAAAAAAAAAAAGGAGAAAAGTTATGTATATCTTATAAGAACAAATGAGATTTTAGCAAAGTTTGGATTTTTCTGCTTTATTTTTTAAAAATCATTATAATATTGCCACCACATCCTATTTTAGAATATTTATACTTACAAAGTTTCCTTAAATAAACTCATTTTAGGATATACTCTCTTCATGATTTGGGGAATTGAGCACCAGATAATTGTCAATTTCTTATTTGGGGATAGCTATCTCCATGCGGTGACTAAAAGAATGTGTAATTTAGTATTTTTGGGTTGTTTCATATTTTTAAAAAATAATCTTATGTTGTTACTATCATTGTATTTAAACAGTCATAAAGAGTGTAAACAATGCCATAGTCATTGTTTTTTATTCTTTAGATATAATGAAGATCTGGAACTTGAAGATGCCATTCATACAGCCATCTTAACCCTAAAGGTTAGCTCAGTATTTAACAACTGGATTTATAATGATTTTATAATTAACTGCTTAGAAAATTGACCTTTTTTCCTCCCTCCTTAATAGGAAAGCTTTGAAGGGCAAATGACAGAGGATAACATAGAGGTTGGAATCTGCAACGAAGCTGGATTTAGGAGGCTTACTCCAACTGAAGTTAAGGATTACTTGGCTGCCATAGCATAATAATGAAGTGACTGAACAATCTGGAATTTCAGATAATCTATTTACTTAAACATGTTTAAAGTATGTTTTGTTTTGCAGACTTTTTGCATACTTATTTCTACATGGTTTAAATCGACTGATGTTTTTAAAATGACACTTATAAATCATAATAAACTGTTAAACCCTCCTTCTAGCCTTTTAGAAGTTAGTAAAATTTTGACAGTTATTTCCTGCTTTTTATCACAGTTGATTTCTGGAAACTACATTGCAAAACAGAATGATGAAATCACTTTTTAGTTTTCATGCAGTTTTGGTTAAGTCAAGTATTATTGCGCTCTTCACTACCCAATGCTGCCTATGTTTCTGTAAAGTAAAATGCTGATTTGGGTAAACATCACTGGTGGGAGAATCTGCAGACTTTCATGGATTCATGAGACAGGATAGGAAGCATAGGTGTTTTGGGGCACCATTAGGTGTGGATCAGTGAAACCCTAGAGTGCTCTGCGTGATTGTGCTGGAGCTTTTAAGAGTGCTAAGTCAAATAGGTCTCCTATGGGAGGTATATTATATAAGTAAATAAACAGTGGTACACTGGTTCCTGTCAGCGTCTCCATTACAAGTAGGCAAACATATTTAAAAGGAACCCCCTAGATTGTACTAGACTTTTTAAACTCAAGGGTGAACATAAGTGCTGCAAATAAAATGCTAATACTTAAGTGTAAAAACTGTGGCTTAAGGCTCTCATTAATGTAATTTCAGTGTAATCAGAACCTCCATTGTAAATAAGGTCCCTAGAAACAAGGAAATAATGGGGTATCTGAACTCTGCTTTCATATGTGAAGGCATAGTGCTTAGTTTTGTTTTGTTTTTTTTTTAAAGTCATCTTAGAATAAAAGAAATCATGCCATTATTCTGGTTCACAGAACATAGGGAGAGTTTATGGCATAAGCATTTTTACCAACATGAAGAGATCATAGGCAATTCCATGATTTCACTGTAGCTCAAAAGATTTTGGTTAAGATTTAGCCAAGTGGAAAAGAGCTTTATTTTGGAGCATTTTGTCAGGATTCCTAGTTCTGTTACCTGCCATCACTATAACACCTGTATCTTGGTTTTAGGTGGCAAAAGCATTATCGGAGATGGGAGATGGCAATTTGATCACTTGTTTGAAGATGTTTGTCTTGAAGCCCTCATCTAATAATCTCTCCTTAAGGGCTCTTGGTATATTGTGACTCCAGCACACTAGAAAGCAAACATAGTAGTAAAAAGGAATGGTCTTTGAAGTTAGATCTCACCTGTCCCTCTTACTGGCTAAATGACTGTGCAAGGCAATTAGAGAGATTTTTAAGGACTAAATTTGATAATGCAAGTGAAAGGCCTGGCATGGTTAACGGTTAAGTATTCTGTCAGCTGCTGTTCAATTTGCTTAGGTCTTCTCTGATGTCATGTCCAGTATTAAGAGACCAGAGGAATGTCAAAATTCTACAAAGGGAAAATTAAAGGCATATGAATTTACGACAAAAGGAAAGAGCATGTAGATTTTTACTGAGTGTTAACAGAATTAGTCCTACAGGGTAAAGGGAGGAAAAAATAGCTGAATCAGATTTGATCCAGGTTCAATTTTCTGCCTCCTGCCCCCATTAAATGCAAAGCCCAGTTCCAATTTGAACTGCCTACAACACTTCTCCCTTTGTTTTCAGTTTATTCTTCTCAAGGGACTTAAGCTGTTCCCTTTTGTCCCGGGCTTGGGAAAGTCAGTTCTTGTAGCAACCAATTGCATCCCTAAACATTCCAAAACTCTTGAATCATTTCTAGCCTCTATTCTAGCTTTTAATCTTAAGTATCATAATGTTCCCAATGTTCACAGATCCTCCCTTCTTTTGGTTTAGTTTGTAACTTCTCACCCTTAGAAGCTTTTGTTTCCACTTGTTCTATCCTTTCTCTTTCCCAGTTCCTTACCCAAACATGAATTTAAATTTGTAAAATGATTGGCAATGAAACATGGAAATGTTTAAAATTCACATACATGAAGGCAGGAGGGAGTTGGAAAGGGGAGTAAGGAAGAAAACTAATACAGAGCTTTAGAATTATTGAGTACTGATACATTGGGTATCAGGTCATAAGGGAACATCAAAGGAGTTTTCATCTGTTGCTCAGTAGGCTTCATAGAATGAAACTGCCAACTCAATATTTAACCTCACCCCTTTATCAGGTGTCTCCTTGCCAATGGAGGCAAACCCCCTGAGCCCATTGTAAAGAAGAACAAACTGATGTTCAGTGACTTGCCCAAGAACATACAGGGGTTGGTAATTCCCTTGGATTAGAATCCCAATTTCCTGAAAACCAGTCCCGGGATCCTATATTAATATCACATTGCCTCACATGTTTCCTTTAATTTAGAGCTTTTCTCTCCACCTGCTCTCCAGGAGTTTATAGAATGAGCAATATCTGACTGCCACATAAGTGATAACTTTGTAAGAATGAGCATATTTTCAAAGTTTGTTAACTTAACACTTTATCAAAGGCCATGTCCCTGAGTTATACTCCCTGAAAGCCATCACTTTAACTTTTTTAGGTATTTCATCAGGTATTTGTCTCCATATTTCAAAATAGTAGGATTATATGGTTTTTTTCTGGATATGTTTTTCTTTTTTCTTATATATGAAGTGAGGAGGGAGGTTCAGTTTCCTTTTTTTTTTGAGACTGAGTCTCACTCTGTTGCCCTGGGTAGAGTTCAGTGGCATCGTAGCTCATTGCAGCCTCAAACTCCTAAGCTCAAGCAATCCTCCCGCCTCGGCCTCCCAGAGTGCTAGGATTATTATAGCCATGAGCCACACCGCACCAGGCCTAGATTCTTGAAGTTTAGCCACTATATGAATTTTCTGTTGTGCAAGAGGAGAATTTAGAACTCTGTCACTCTGACTCCCTCCTCTTTGCCTCAATTTAATTGTATCTAGTTTAAGATTTTTCTTAATGACTGTGTAAATATACCATGATTATACATTACCCAAATAACTTTATTTGGGGTGATATTGCCTCGCTTTTTTACTTTGTAGCTGTCAATAATTCTTACCAGATTCCGCCAACAGAATTATAATATCCTCTGCATACTGTTTTCCGGATGGTCAGATATCAGGTAATCTGTTCTCTCCCTCATACCTCTTGAGAAATTTCTCTTTCTTGGAGCCCTCTCTCTTTCTTCTCCAGGCTAGTTGCTTGTTTGGAACTATATTAGCTGCTCCTCTACAGCTCTTAAGATTGTTTCTTTTGTCTGCAGTATTCTGAAATTTCACAATGATGTGCCTTTGTGTGGGCTTCTTAACATTCCTACTGAGTGCTGAGCACTCAGTAGGCCCTTTCACTGTAAAAACTGTAAAAAAAAAAAAAAAAAAAAAAAAAAAAAACCCTGAAAACCACAAAACACCTTTCCATTTGGTTAATTTAATAGTATTTTTAAAAAAAATTTCCTATTTTTGTTTCTAAAACTCCTATTAATTGTATATTGGGCCCTTTGGTTTTGCTCTGTTTTTCATTTTTTTTTTTTCCTGGTAGATTCTTCTAACTCTTCCACTGATTTCCATGAAATTTGGAATATCATTTTTACTTTTGAAGAACTGTTCCCTGTGTTCTGACATCTCCCCTTTAAAAAAAGTCCTCTTGTTTTATGGCTGAAATATCTTTTATATGAGAATGCTAGAATACATTTAAAAATTATTTCATTCTTTTTTTTTTTTTTTTTTGAGACAGGGTCTCACTCTGTTGCCTGGGCTAGAGTGCCGTGGCGTCAGCCTAGCTCACAGCAACCTCAGACTCCTGGGCTCAAGCGATCCTCCTGCCTCAGCCTCCAGAGCAGCTGGGACTACAGGCATGCACCACCATGCCTGGCTCATTTTTATACATATATAAATTTAGTTGTCCAGCTAATTTCTTTTTTTAGTAGAGAGGGGCGTCTCGCTCTTGCTCAGGCTGGTCTCGAACTCCTGAGCTCAAACAATCTGCCCTCCTCGGCCTCCCAGAGTGCTAGGATAATTATTTCATTCTGATTTGTGTTTCCTGCAAATTCCAAACAAATGTTTGGACATGCTGTGTTTGTGAGTGAGGCCCACATTTACTTTGGGGGATGCTGTCAGTATCTTCAAGCCATTTCTTTAGGGCCTTTCATTTGCTCAGTTTCTCCAGAGAAAAGTAGGGTGGTGGAGTGGCAGAGGGGTGCCAGCATCCTGGGAGGGGCTGGGAAGGGGCCCCTGGCATCTCATTTAGTCGGAACACTTACCGTAAGAGCACCTGTTCTATCCTTTGTTGGGCCTTGTGTCTGGAAACCCTCTGATTCCCTATCTTCAGTATCTTAAACTCTAGTTTTCTGTCTGGTGAAGCACAGGGAATGGCCCGGCTGCTCTGGATAGAAGAGAGGACCTGGATGTGTGTTCTTTAACTTTTAAGCAATCTCCACTTGCAATCCTGCCTCCCCTCCCTTCTACCTTCAAGACACTTGAAGTTTAAAAACATTTCTGGGGCTCTGCTTTGTGAATCACTTGCTTACTATCCCCTTCAGCAAGCACTTTTCTCAGCTGTGCCGACTGACTCTGCCTTTTAAGTTAAGAGGATGGAAAAACTAATGTGTAAAACACTTAGAACAATATCTGCCTCATGGTAAGCACTAAGTTATTGTTCTTGTCCTCCAAAAATGTGTTAGTGTATCTCATTTCCAGTCATCTCTTCTCGTTTTTTTTGCCTTTGTGGGTTCATTTGGTTTTTCTTTCCTTTACTGTCATTTAAGTAAAGTTTGGAGAAGGAGCAGGATACACAGGATTAGTTTTAACTGGAATCCCCTTTAATATTTAAAAGTAGCTTTGCTTTCTCAAAGCTCTCATCTTTCTGGGTGACACTCTACTAGGCTAATATGACTATCCCAGCCCCTCAGAAGTCACCCAATCATTTGTTCTCTTAAGAAGGGCAGCACAGCTCTATAATGGCACACTTACTGTGGGGCGCCCAGCCTAGGATGGTGAGGTGGAGAGTGCTTTGGTGTGGAGTCGGAAATCCCGGCTCCAGCACTTACTAGCCATTGTGACCTTTGACAAGCTTCTGCAGCGTGTGTCTTCTGTTAAAATGAGCCGAGAAATGCCTGGGACCCAGGTGACATCCAGTGGCCGGCGCGCCGGTAGGAGTAGGCTGGGTCCCGAGA